TGACAATTACCTTTAAAAAAATGTAATGGTCGAGTACCTCTACATTTTTTACCTCTAGAAATGTATTTATTGTGCCAGAGCACCGAGCGAAGCGGGAGCGAGCGGGAGAACGCAGGTAGAGCGTACTACAATGCACCAGGTGGCTCCTGCATTATTATACTTTACCGTACGTGTGGTTTTCCTACCCCAAAGGCCCGTAGCGCCTAACGGACATTGCCGGTAGGCAACCACCCGCCTGCATGCGGTACAGCATAACCACGACGACTGGCGGTTTCGCCTATCCCAGGGGGCTGTGGCGCCCTACGGGCTCGAAAGGGTTACGGAAAAAAATTCATGATAAAAGTCGCATAAGTACCATTTGAAATTGTAAATTTACATGCAGTCCCTATCGACTTGGAATTGACCGACGAGCAAGAATGGGCTGTCGTAAATTTACGACATATTTTGTAAATCAGAATTTCAACAAATGTCGTAAATTTACAAGGATATTTTTCGCAGAGTTTAGACTTTCTTTTTTTTGAAACGCAGTAGTAAAGCTAAAATCGTGTGCTATATGCTCATATTTGAAAAAAAAAACAAAAAAACAAAAAAAAAAACTCAAACATAATAATCTGTGTAACTTCCACTCAATTTGTTTCATGGAACAATGTTGGTTAGAGCAAAGTCGAAAAGACACTTTTTTCGATTCCCATTGACAAACGCCTGCAGCGCGTCGGGTAGGCCCGCCCGCCAAGTGCCTGTGTGAAGATGGTGGCCTACCCTCAGCGCCTGAACGGCGATACCCCGTGCTCTCGCCAACGCCAACAAGTGGACGCACATACGCACATACCCCACACCTCACACCTCACATACCCCGCACCCCGCAACGAGACTACAGCGTGTAACACTGTTGTTCGCGGAAAGAGTTCGTTGGGCTTCTGGTTGTCAGTGACTTCACGGAGGTAAGAAACTACCGTTTTTATTTTAATTTTGTTCTAGTTCGTCTTCGCAAATTATAGATATGTCAAAATAGTGTCGTTGCCTCTGTCTTTGCTTTAAATGTGGAAGAACGCACACGTGATAAGTCTTATTCACAAACTGATTTACTTAACCTCATTTTGAATTTACTACTATGTACCAAACTTTTTTTTGACTTTCTCCAAGGCAAATTGAAATGCATGTCTAAACTATCTTCTTTTTCACATTTTTCAGGTTGTTGGTATTTGGCAGTCAAAGATGTTCTATCCAGAGAACAAGGTTACAGATGTCATTAAATCGGTGAGTTGATCTAAAGAACTTCTGATTGTTCTCTTTAACTGATGTTATATCCTGTTTATCCTTTTTTCTTTCTTTGGCAGGCAGCAGGAACTGAACTATGGACACTTTTGCAAAAACCACCCTGCAACCTGTGAAGTAGTTACCGTCCACCCTCTTATGGTCACGCTTAGAAGCTCTGAGTTCTCTCTTTCTCTCCGTTCACAGGTGGCACCAAATTTTTTTGGAGGATATTAAGTTAACTCTTTAAAATGCTTTGGTGGTACGTAAAACATATTAATATAAAACATATTAATTAAATAGTTTCATTAATAGCTCCAAAGTTTGAACATGCACACATGATACATTTGTGTTGCTGACCAGACCGTTTACCAAAATGCTCGAATGAGGTGCGGTCAGGGACTTAAAATGAAAACTCGTAAAAGTGCTCAAAATTATACCATTAGACGTGAATAAAAGTTCGTTGCTTTAATTAGATCCACTCTACAATCGTACTACTATCATGTCTGTACGTGTTATTGTCTCTTGTGTGAATATTTATGTTATTCCACCTGCAAACATTTGACGTTGAGTTGACATTGTTTGTCCTAGGCAATGCTTTTGAAGCATGGCACATTAATGTTATGCAGCTACCCCAAACTGTAAGGAGTCCAGAGAGGAGTTGGTGTCACCACGATTTTAGAAGACTAAAATTCTGTTTTTACCCTGTTGCAGGAAGACTGTCCAATAGTTGCATATCTATGCTTGACATCAGCTAAGCAGCCGTTATCTGTCACTCGATGCATGCTGAGTTGGCGTTACAGCACACAGCATGAGAGATGGTCCCTTTTTCTCATGATCACAGAAATAGATCTGGTAAGTTTTGACTTCTTATTTTATGTAATCTAACAAAAAATATCAATACATTATGGTAGAGTCATAGGTCAGATGATTTTGGTATTTGTTTCTATTTGGGTGTTTCTTGTCATATCTTCAGTATGCTATCTCTACATATACGGCTTATAACTTGATCCTGAAATATGTTGTCATGTGTTGATTTTAGTGGAGGGAAGTGGATGTAAATCATCAGAGTGTCATTTACAGTAATGCTACTATTTATTTCATTTGTATGGTACAGTTGTAGTTAAAGATGAAGTGATGGCGGTTCTTGTCCAAAGGGAATGCCTGGACTGGATGCTGGCCACCTGTAACATAGAAAGTCCATTCAATGAGCTGGCGTCACAGTGATACATATGGTCCAGAACATGTTTGACTTGAACTCGGAGAATTTGAATTTAACTTAGATTTTTATCATTCTTTTTCAGGTATTTAGATTCACTCCAATTCTCCAGCAGAAACAAGCCAGCTACTTGAGGAAGACTTACTCTTATAATGTAAATTATTT